AAAACAGTGGTATACAAATATAAATGGTTGGTAAATCTCTTTCACATTGGGATCTGTGATTATATAAAGGTATATTGTTATTAAACAGACAATCAAGAATGTAAGGGAATTAGGTTTATTGGGAGAATAATAATAATGTTAATTGTAATTGAATATACATTGTACAATGAAAGTGAGGTACCTAGTTATATTAGATGAAAAATAGTAAATATAATTGAGAATATGGATGCAAAAACACTTGTAACCAAACGACATGCTGTATGTCATGGATGAGAATTTTTTTTAATGTTGTTTTTATATGTTTAAAAATAAAAACAAATTCCAAAAAAAGAAAAAAAGAAAGGAGGAAATGGCAAGGTTTAGCAACCTTGCTAAGAAAACCTCAGGGACTTATCCAGGCAGTGCCAGAGAATCGAGTACAATTGAATGAAAGGAAAACACCTTGTGCGTCAGTCAGCCTCTCTACAACAGGGGTGTCGATCTCGATTTCATTGAAGGCCACATCAGGGTTGTGTTTGATCTCGGGGGGGCGTGGCCAGCTTGACATCACTTGTGTCAGGGGCGCCTGTGGTGGCCTGAACACTCTGCCTGTGAAAATGGGCTCCCAAGCTCCGTTTTCGGGTGTGACCACTTCCTGCAATCCTCTGCCAGTGAAAACGGAGCTTGAGACACCCATCCACGGCCCTCGTGAGGTTCGTTTTGGGCTGTGAAGGCGTCCTGCAACCCTCTGGCAGAGAAAATGCAGCTCAGGAGGGCTACATGTGGCCCACCCAAGCTCCATTTTTGCTGGCAGAGGCACCATGGATGGGTCTTTTGCTGTTTCTAGGGCAGATCTAAGACCCCATGGGCCAGATCCGCCCCCTGGGCCTTGAGTTTGACACCCTTGGTCTACAATCTATCATCTATCTCAGTGATGGCTAACCTTTCTGTTGAGGCATGCCAAAAGTGGGGAGAGCGGAGATATGTGTCACGGGTGCATGCACCCATAATGCAGTGCACTTCTCCCTGTGCATGTGCACCCCCCCCCTGGGCATGCACGCAGGTCTCACTGAAGCCTCTGGACTTCTGGGAGATGCATTGGGCTGTTTTTTATCCTCCGCAGGCTTCAGGAAAGCCTCCATGCGTGCTGAAGCTGACAGGGCAATGCCTCGCATGCCCTCAGAAATGGCTCCACATGCCACCTGTGGCACACATGCCATAGTTTTGCCATCACGGCTCTATCGTATCTATGAGACTGGAATAATTTTGACCAAATGTCCATAACCATTTGTTTTCTTGAATAAGGAACAGAAACCTTTTTTCTTTACATATTACATATGAAGCCGTATGCTTATAAAAATGAGCCAATCGTTTTAAACCCGCTACTCGTAAATTTAATGCCATTCCCTTCTTAGAGGAGGACAAACAGCTAGATAGATTTCAAGGAGGCCTCTTCACTTCCTTTACGGCTGTTATTTGAGGGAAAACAGCAGTAAGTTAGACTTCAAGCATTGGGGTTAATTATCTACACTGTAAATCTTAATCAGCTTCATTAATAACAATCCTTAACTGTTGGTAATGTTAACCCATAAAATGCTGACATTTTTCTAGGAATGATGCAAGAAAAGAAAGGGAAGTAATGGAGCATCTGCATGTTCCTGGCCAAACGAAGGGGCCAAGTTTGTTCTTGTTTTCATTGTAACATTCTCCTTGGGGAGGACAGAGGTTGAGCTTCCTTGTGACCCTTAGTTTTCTTTTTTACTCAATCAGGACTATGAATTACTCTTAATTAACAGCAAGTCTGGAATTTCCTGACTTGCAGATTGTAAAAACAAACAAATGATAACAGTTGGCATGTTTCTCTCCTTCTTTTCAAATATGTATGCATTTTAGAAAAGTTGCTGTAGAATGATAATCACCATCCTTTTAACGACCCCATAATCCCTTGCGGAGTGGAGTCTGGGAAACTGAATGGAGCTGTGTATTTACTGGCCGGATGCCCTTCCTGTCGCCAATGCAGAGTTTTATTCAGTAGATATATTCTCATTCCGCCCTGAGAAAGAAATATCTGCCTCTATCTAGGATCGAACTCACAGCCTCCTGATTGTGAGGCGAGAGCTCTACCTCTAGGCCATTGCACCACTCAGTGTTGCAGAATGATAATATGATAAAAATATGATAATAAAAGAGGACCTCTTGATAAGCAAATACACTGTTATAATCAGCAACCTAGTGTCCAAGGACCTTTTCATCCTACAATGTTAGAACAACCTCCATACTTTTAAGCGGTCTGGTAATTAAAGACATCAGCTTGTAGAGAAAGGGATATCATGCTGCTTAAATATCCTCCAATTTTCCCATTTTTGTTTTGATAATACCAATTTATTTAAATGTCAATTTTGCTGAGAAAATGCTACTTGGAATGCATTTAAGCTCTGCGTTTTACTTCCCTGCACCTTGTGTACTTTGCAAATGAACATATTTTTTGGTGCTTTGCCTAAATGTCGAACTATTTGTGCATTGTTAGGCAATGACATACAAATAAGTTCCTAAAAGCTTCTTCCAAAAAATAAAGCAATTTTATGAGAAAGGAGAATTTTATATGCATTATAACTTTGGCCATGGATATATCAAATGCTACTCATGGACTCTTGCAATGAAGTCTATTTTTTTTTTAACTCAGGGCTGTTCAGTCATTATTATTGCAATACAACAAATATGTGCATATTTAAGTCATTTTCTGTTGGTTTTGGGCAAAGAAGCAAATGAACAATATTCAGAAATAAATATAGTTGGGGGAAAAAAATTAGGAATAGTTTGCCTGGTTCTACTCGTGGCTGAAAAATAACCCCCTTATTTAGTGGAAACTCTGAGCTTTATTTAACTTTTTTTAAATTGCTGTATATCACTTTATTTGACAGCACATATTTTCTCTTAGCAGGCAAGGGCAGAAACTGCCAGATTAAGTGATTTAAACAAAGTGAAGAGTTGCTGAGAAAATTTCTTTTTCCTAGCTCCTGAGCCAAGCCAGACATCAAATAGTTTAGGTCTGGCTTAGGCATGAAACAATGTGTGAAGCGTTCAGGGATCCCACCACTGTATCAAGTAATTGACAAGTTTTGCTTGAGGAAGATGCCTGTTGGCCTTATGTTTTTTTTTCTCTGTTGGCATAGTTAATATCTTTTCTCCCATGGTGGTACACTTTTTGTATATTTATCAGCGTTACATAGCAGGGGGGTTTATAAGCCATCCAAAGTCCGTCTGGATTTGGGCAACACCAAAATCAAATCAAAACAAATATGAATACATTAATGAACAGTCCAAAAAAAATGTACAATAAACAAGTTATTTGAACAATCCAATTGATATTTATAGTAATTGAAAAAATCTGTGCAAAGAATGCACAGAAAATCATTTGCTAAAGCAGACGGATGCTGCTTTGATAGCTTTAAATGTTTGCTCTGAGAGTCTAATTCTCCATTATTAAATGTCTCTTCATTCCAGGTCATGGAAATCAAAGGACAAATGATCCATGTCCCAGAATCAAACTGTATTTTGTTTTTGGGCTCACCATGTGTGGACAAGCTGGACGAACTGATGGGTCGAGGCCTCCACCTTTCAGACATACCAATTCACGATGCTACCCGTGATGTCATCCTTGTCGGGGAGCAGGCTAAAGCCCAGGATGGCTTGAAGAAGAGGATGGACAAGCTTAAAGCAACCTTGGAACGAACGCACCAAGCTCTAGAAGAGGAGAAGAAGAAAACGGTGGATCTTCTTATCTCGATCTTCCCAGAAGAAGTAGCTCAGCAGCTCTGGCAAGGGCAGCAAGTTCAAGCCAGGAAATTTGATGATGTTACCATGCTCTTTTCAGACATTGTTGGCTTCACTGCTGTCTGTGCCCAGTGTACGCCCATGCAAGTGATCAGTATGCTCAATGAGCTGTACACCAGATTTGACCACCAGTGTGGATTCCTAGATATCTATAAGGTAACGTCTTTCACCCTTTAAGTTTTTACAGAAGTATGATATTGCTAACATACCTTTTTTTTCTTACTATCAGTGTTCTATTTTCTTACTAAAGGTTGATCTAAGTAAATGACAGTTATGTGGTTGTTCTCAGAAATTTTACTTTAGGGGAAAAGTGAGCAATGGGGTGAGATCCAGTTTAGAAATGTGAATAGTCTAGAAGGCAAGAATCACATAGTTAAAGTCATCCTATTTTTACTGTTGATATAAAATCAACACATTAGAAGTGAGCTGAGTTGGAAACATGCTTCTTGACGTAGCTTATTCAAAATTGGCAGTCTTCTTACTCCCAGATTGAACTGTCACATTGTATTTTAACAATTTCAGATTTCTCCTATTTAATTCAATTGTCTTTTAGTTCCAAAGCTGAAAAGTCTCATTCTATTAGGTGAATCAGCTTCTTTTAACAACCCCATAATCCCTTGCCCGGGGGGAGGGGTAGAGTCTTGGAAACTAATGGAGCTGAGTGTTTACTGGCCGGATGCCTTCCTGTCGCCAATACGGAGCTTTCTTCTCATTGTGCCCAGAGAAAAATACCTGCCTCTACTTAGGATTGAACTCACAGCCTCCTGATTATGAGGTGAGAGCGCCACCTCTAGGCCATCGCACTACTCTATTTTATGAGGTGATTAACTGGTACAAATGTGCCACTTTCAAAAATCAAATTTGAGACCACTGTATATAAAAACCAAAATCACGTTACAGGTATTCCTTGACTTACAACCACAAATGAGCCCAAAATATCTGTTGTTAAGCAAGACAGTTAAATGAGTCTTGCCCTATTTTATGATCTTCCTTGGCACAGTTTTTAAGTGAATCACCACAGTGGTTTTTAAGCTAGTAACGTGGTTGTTAAATGAATCTGTCTTCCCCATTGACTTTGCTTGTCAGAAGGTCATAAAAACTAATCACATGACCACGGGACACTGCAACCGTCATACATATGAGTCAGTTGCCAAGTGTCTAGATTTTGATCATGTGACCATGGAGATACTGTAATGGTCATAAATGAAAAAAAAACAATCACAAGTCACTTTTTCAGTGCTGCCGTAACTTTGAACAGTCACTAAACAAATGGTTGTAAGTTGGGGACTACCTTTAACTGATCTAGAGCAGGGGTGTCAAACTCAAGGCCCGGGGCCCAGATTAGGCCTGCAGGGTGCTTAGATCTGGCCCATAGGGCCACCCTGGAAACAGTGATGGACCAGCCTGCAGTGCCTCTGCCAATGAAAGCAGAGCTCGGAAGGGCTGTGAGTGGCACTCTCAAGCTCCATTTTTGCTGGCAAAGGGTTGCAGGAGGCCACCATAGTTGAAACGGAGTTCGGGAGCCTGTTTTCACTGGCAAAACACTCGGGTCACCACAGGCACCCCTGACATGAGTGACATTGAGCTGGCCTCTCCCCTGGCCACTCCTCTCCCAGCCCCCCCCCCCCCCCCATGGTCAAGCACAACCCTGATGCGGCCCTCATTGAAATCGAGTTTGACACCTCTGATCTAGAGTCTACTTATGTATCTAAATTCTAGAACATTCTGAGAAAAGACATGTCTGGTATACGGTTTCTTTATAGACAGGAATGCCCAACCTTCTTATTTCTTAGCTGCTTCTCTGGGCTGATTGCTGATTTTGTTCAGTTGTATACTCAATACAGGACATTGAACGATTTATTGCTATCAAATGATGCCTAGGTATTAGATTTTCTCCAAAAACCTATAAGACTTATTGGTTGTGATGTTTTTCTGGTCCATAGTGAAGTTTTGGGTGGGCTTTCTTTGGTTTTGTTGTGGCCGCCAGCAGAGCTGGCAGTAGATTTGGACAATGAGGAGGTTGGGAAGGAACATGGGCCAGTCCTGGGAATCTGAGGGAGGCTCTGATGAGGGCTCTGTGTCGGAGGCAGAGATGGGGCCAGAGCCGTATGCCAGTTACCAGCTGTCTTCAGAGTCAGACATCAGTGAGGCAGACGAACAGCTGGAGCCTGTTCCCAGTGTGCGCATGCTCAGAGTTGCCAGACAAAGGGAACAGCAAAAGAACGGGTCAACTTGAGAGTAAGGCCACAGGCGGAAGATGAATGGCCCCTCCCAGAGGTAATAAAAGAGGAGGGAAAGGGGAGTGGAGTTTGCAGGAGACAATTAGTTTGCTTAATTGGTTTGTGATTCTCCGAGGCTGCTTGCCAAGTTTTCCAGATATCGGCCTGGCAGTTCTCCAAGCCAGATAAGATTTGTGACTGTAAATCCTCCCTTGAAAGACTTTGCTGTACGTGAATGAGCAGAATTCACAGTAAATTAATAAAAGGGTTTTTTGTTAGGACAAGCAGTTTGCTTCATGCCCTTGGGAAGCCTCAGTCAGAACTGGTTTTTCTTTGGGATACAAAGCGACAGGGTAACAGCGAGCAGTGTCTATTTGTGTATTCTGCGTCTATTTGTGTGTTTCTATTATCTTCAAATAAGTTTCTCAAGCTGAGCATTTATGGATATGAGATGAACAGATCTCTTTGATACCTTTAAATTCCAAGGGGTGGATGCTAAGAAAAGTGTTGGAATTTTTCCCCCCAGAATCTATTTTCCTCTTTGGAAGAAACTGCACCAGAAATTCACAGAATCTTTTGATAATACGTTGCCATATGTGGTGAGCAGATCA